CTCTCACAGCACGTGTTATATTAATGATAACAGGTGCCATGTGCGTAGTATAGCGCCGTTTTTGCATATAGCGTTCTATATGACGTTAAAGGATGAGAATGCGTTGAATAAACACACACACACAACAGGCAGCAATATGCACTATTTTTTGCTGTTCAGAATTCGTTGGTTCATGTTTATATGGAAGACTTAGACTTGTTTACGTGTTTAGTTAATTCTTAATTTTTCTGTTTTTTTTTTTTTGTTTTTTTTAGATTCAGAATATGTTTCAGTGTAAAAACAGTAGAAATATCTTATTCGTTTGTCTGTTGATAAGTTTTGAACTTAAAAACAGTCTTGGAAAAATCTAAGCATGTGCAAATTGGCCTGTACAGTAGATCAAGTTTTGTTTGCCAGAAATCAATTCATGTAAATTGAAAGATCTCAGTTTAGCGAAGACTGATCGTGGATCACTGAGTGAAGAGTTTTGAGAAGTTGTTCAATGTTGTATTATGTTCAGAGTTTTAGCAGTGTTGTGTCAAAGTGAAATATGTAGTTTGGAAGATGTAGTCACTGAATGCATTAATACAACTCTAAAAAGAAAAACAACAACAAAAAAGCAACCTGTAATAGCAGCTGCAAATGGGGCCTTATTTATCACTCAGAAAGAATTAGCGTTAAACACATTTACACAAACTCTAGACACAGAAGGATTAAATAGTTCCCACATCACACCAGGATATTTCACTCAAAATTGTGAAATATTTCACTCATTAAGTGTTTGATTTACTCATTCAACTGATGTTCAAAACAACTGTGTAGTTACAGTGCTGCAAAAAAATGCAGACATGTTTCTTTATAAAATAGCAGACACAATACCACTGATATTGAAAAAAAAAGATCTAAATCAACTTCTAGGTTTGGGTGAAGTGAGAGGGTCACAGAGACAGAACTAAAAACCTAATTTGTCAAATAAACTCTAAAAATAAAAGATATTCAAGACTGTGGTATAAATAATTGGATGATCTGACCATAACTCATACTATCCTTGATTTTCTAACTTAGGACATTTCCTTTGTGTGTGATTACACCGCCCTCCCCCACACTAATTAACATATCAATGCAGGATGAAGGTGTCTAGGTGAAGTGGCCTGAGTGCTAACAAATACAGCTACCAATGTTCAAGTATCTGTGCAACTTCTCAAAATAAACTACAATAAACTAGAGAAAACGTTGGGATTTACCCTTCCAAATTTATTTTGTAACATATTCTTTTGTAAAAATGTATTTAATAAATAAATAAAAACAAGAAGTAAACTACTGTTAACTGCAGTTTGTTACATTATCCATGTTTACAATACTGTAATCCCTGGTACTGTCGATGAACAGAAATCAAAAGATCAAGGGACAAATTATCAGTATATTTTCTAGAATCTCGGAGTGAAATGGGCTTATGTGACAAACTGTGGATCATTTAATTTTGCTTTGGAATTTTTTTATTCAATGGCGTCTTTCAATTTACATGAATGTATTTCACACTTAACACAAACACCAACAGAACTTTATGTTCTATAAAGACCAAATTGCACATCTTTACATTCTCCAATCAAAACTGATGTTCAAAACCTAACACAACATGAATAAGACCAAAATTTGCAATATTTATACAGTAATACCATTTTGAAATATAATCTGAATTAAAAACAAACAAAAAAAACAATTATATTTAACTAAACACCAACACAAGTGTTCGTGTTAGTCTCAGTTTAATCACCATCTATACCAAAGTGGAAAATTAGGATTACAGTAATTTTGTACAGTATTGTAAACATGGATAATGTAACAAACTGGAGTTAACAGTAGATAGTGTAATTCTTGTTTTTATTTATTTTTTTAAATACATTTTTACAAAAGAAAACATTACAAAATAAATGTGGAAGGGTAAATCCCAACGTTTTCTAACTAAATTAAATTAGTAAATATTGCAAATTTTGGTCTTATTCATGTTTGTTGTTAAGGTTTTGAACATCAGTTTTGATTGGAGAATGTAAAGATGTGCAATTTGGTCTTTTAATAAACATAAAGTTCTGTTGGTGTTTGTGTTAAGTGTGAAATACATTCATGTAAATTGAAAGACGCCATTGAATAAAAAATTCCAAAGCAAAATTAAATGATCCACAGTTTGTCACATAAGCCCATTTCACCCGAGATTCTAGAAAATATACTGATAATTTGTCCCTTGATCTTTTGATTTGCTGTTCATCGACAGTACCAGGGATTACAGTATTGTAAACATGGATAATGTACAAACTGCAGTTAACAGTAGTTTACTTCTTGTTTTATTTATTTATTAAAACATTTTTACAAAAGAATATGTTACAAAATAAATTTGAAGGGTAAATCCCAACGTTTATCTAGTTTATGTGTTTATTTGAGAAGTTGCACAGATACTTGAACATTGGTAGCTGTATTTGTTAGCACTCAGGCCACTTCACCTAGACACCTTCAGCCATCCTGCATTGATATGTTAATTAAGTGTGGGTGTAATCACACACAAAGGAAATTCCTAAGTTAGAAAATCAAGGATAGTATGAGTTTATGGTCAGATCATCCAATTATTTATACCACAGTCTTGAATATCTTTTATTTTTTAGAGTTTATTTGACAAATTAGGTTTTTAGTTCTGTCTCTATGACCCTCTCACTTCACCCAAACCCTAGAAGTTGATTTAGATCTTTTTTTTTCAATATCAGTGGTATTGTGTCTGCTATTTTATAAAGAAACATGTCTGCATTTTTTTGCAGCACTGTAACTACACAGTTGTTTTGAACATCAGTTGAATGAGTAAATCAAACACTTAATGAGTGAAATATTTCACAATTTTGAGTGAAATATCCTGGTGTGATGTGGGGAACATATGATCCTTCTGTGTCTAGAGTTTGTGTAAATGTGTTTAACACTAATTCTTTCTGAGTGATAAATAAGGCCCCATTTGCAGCTGCTATTACAGGTTGCTTTTTTGTTGTTGTTTTTCTTTTTAGAGTTGTATTAATGCATTCAGTGACTACATCTTCCAAACTACATATTTCACTTCGACACAACACTGCTAAAACTCTGAACATAATACAACATTGAACAACTTCTCAAAACTCTTCACTCAGTGATCACACGATCAGTCTTCGCTAAACTGAGATCTTTCGATTTACATGAATTGATTTCTGGCAAACAAAACTTGATTTACTGTACAGGCACATGCTTACATATTATTTCCAAGACTGTTATTTAAGTTCAAAACTTATCAACACAAAAATGAATAAGATATTTCTACCGTATTTCACACTGAAACATATTCTGATCTAAAAAAAAAAAACTGAAAAATTAAGAAGTAACTAAACACATACACAAGTCTTAGTCTTTCATGTAAAACATGAACCATGTAAAATGCTTGACATTCTGTCCCCCTCACTTTGAAATGATTGCTACGCCCCTGATTCCACATCCCCCACACTCATTTACATTTCAATGCAGGGTGGCTGGAAGGTGTTTTAGGTAAACTGGTCTGAGCGCTTACAAATACAGCTACCAATGTTCAAGTATCTGTGCACTTCTCAAATAAAAACTAGATGCAGTTCATAAAACTAGATGCAGTTACGGAAGAT